ATACTTCCTGCCCCTCTCAGGCCTCTTTGGGTGCTTCTGTAGTTACCCCAGTCTCTACTTGCTCTACCTCGCCTGTCTCTGAAATCATGGTATCAGCATCTTCCTTATCCGCTGAGACACTTGGCGCTATCTCCAACTATGTTGTGGAGACAAAACCCTCGATGGACAGTGATGCGCCTCCTTCTACCCCTTCTTTTTCACAACCCTCGCAACAATCTTTTCCTTCACAACATTCTGATTCCTCCTTGCTTACACACTTACCGTTGCCCCCACACATCAACTTCACTAACCCTACTAGCCCATAGATTTTATCACTTCTTATTGTTGACATACCTATCTTTGTAAATAATATCTTATTTACAATGGAATATTTGAGGCCTCAGGGGTAATCGGGGAGAACTCCAAGTGTTGCTCTCCCAGTTTTCCCCAATATGTGTCGGGTTACAAGAGCCCAAAATTCATTCACCCATTATTCATCCCATTTTGGGCTATGTGCTGTTACATTCTTCTGATCCCTTTTCTGATGAATCATTTAATGAGAGCATGCTTCTTGTGCACATTGGTATACTGCATCAACAAGTTTTTGTTCATTCTCTGCTGCATTATACTGCAGCTCGTATTTATTTACACAGATGTATACAGTTTGCTCTCTATATCTTTAAGTAAGTAAGTTTATTCAGTTATACACAAATACAGTTACATAGAATTATCATACATAGCAACACGTGTGTAGAGAACCTAGGATAACCCAAAAAAGTCAGACAGTGACTTATTTCCATTGGGGTCCTTACTTATTTCCATCTGTGTACTCTTGTGTACTCTGTATCTTGGATATTGCATTTTTGATCTCTTCCCTACCACTGCCCATCTTGTTAGGTGATTTTAATGCTCACTATCATCTGTTGGGAGGGTTCCACTGTGACTCGTGGTGATCAGTTGGAGACTTCTCACTTCTCATCCTCTTCATGTTTTAAATACGGGTGCTCCTACCCATTTTGACTCTTGCACTCAGTTTCTATCTTGCATTGATCTTTCTATCTGTTCCTTGTCAATTGCACTTGATTACGCTTCGTCTGTTCTCCCAGATTTACATGACAGTGATCACTTTCCTATTCTTTTTACTTCTACTACATATTCCTGAATGCCTCGTAGCCCTTGTTGGGACTTATACTATCGTCTTGCCACCTTTTGTGAGGACCCCCTTTTGACCTCTATTGATGAACTGGTACACCAGTTTTTGACCTTAGTTTTCTCTTTGTCTTCACTCGCTCGTGTTCTCTTCAGTTGCCTTCCTTGTATGTTCATATTTTATATGTAACAGCCAGTGGCGCCTCGTAGCGCCAGTAATACCTATACTGTTGTACCGCATCAGACTTCTACTTTTAATAATTTTTTATCTCGTTTCAACAAAAAAAAAAACAAAAAAATTTACTTATAAATACATTGAAAACAACATACAACAGATTTTTCCTGTAATATATTTGTCAGTTGCAAATTATTTTAGCGTAAGGTTGATGAAGTCATACGTCTGGCAGTGAGCATCTGGGAAGACTGCAACTCCTATGGATGAGCTGCCACTGCTAACAGCTATTATAACGCTTACCTGGAGAGAGTTCCAGGGGTCAATGCCCCCGCAGCCCGGTCTGTGACCAGGCCTCATCGTGGATCAGAGCCTGATCAACCAGGCTGTTACTGCTGGCTGCACGCAATCCAATGTACGAGCTACAGCCCGGCTGGTCAGGTACCGACATTAGGTGCTTGTCCAGTGCATGCTTAAAGACAGCCAGGGGCCTTGTGGTAATCCCCCTTATGTATGCTGGGAGGCAGTTGAACAGTCTTGGGCCCCTGACACTTACTGTATTGTCTCTTAACGTGCTAGTGACACCCCTGCTTTTCATTGGGGGGATGTTGCATTGTCTGCCGAGTCTTTTGCTTTCGTTGCGAGTGATTTTCGTGTGCAAGTTTGGTGCTAGTCCTTCTAGTATTTTTCAGGTGTATACTATAATCATGTATCTCTCCCACCTGCATTCCAGGGAGTACAAGTTCAGGAACTTCAAGCGCTCCCAGTAATTGAGGTGTTTTATCTCCGTTATGTGCGCTGTGAAGGTTCTCTGTACATTTTCTAGGTCAGCAATTTCACCTGCCTTGAAAGGTGCTGTTAGTGTGCAGCAATATTCCAGCCTAGATAGAACAAGCGACCTGAAGAGTGTCATCATGGGCTTGGCATCCCTAGTTTTGAAGGTTCTCATTATCCATCCTGTCATTTTTCTAGCAGATGCGATTGATACAGTGTTATGGTCCTTGAAGGCGAGATCCTCCGACATGATCACTCCCAGGTCTTTGACGTTAGTTTTTTGCTCTATTGTGTGGCTGGAATTTGTTTTATTCTCTGATGAAGTTTTAATTTCCTCATGTTTACCATATCGAAGTAATTGAAATTTCTCATCGTTGAACTTCCTATTGTTTTTCTGCAGCCCATTGAAAGATTTGGTTGATGTCCACCTGGAGCCTTGTAGTGTCTGCAGTGGAAGACACTGTCATGCAGATTTGGGTGTCATCTGCAAAGGAAGACACGGTGCTGTGGCTGACATCCTTGTCTATGTCAGATATGTGGATGAGAAACAAGATGGGAGTGAGTACTGTGCCTTGTGGAACAGAGCTTTCCACCGTAGCCGCCTCAGACTTTACTCTGTTGACTACTACCCTTTGTGTTCTGTTTGTGAGGAAATTATAGAGCCCTCTACCAACTTTTCCTGTTATTCCTTTAGCACACATTTTGTGCGCTATTACACCATGGTCACACTTGTCAAAGGCTTTTGCAAAGTCTGTATATATTACATCTGCATTCTTTTTGTCTTCTAGTGCATCTAGGACCTTGTCGTAGTGATCCAGTAGTTGGGACAGACAGGAGCGGCCTGCTCTAAACCCATGTTGCCCTGGATTGTGTAATTGATGGGTATCTAGATGGGTGGCAGTCTTGCTTCTTAGGACCCTTTCAAAGATTTTTATGATATGGGATGTTAATGCTATCGGTCTGTAGTTCTTTGCTATTACTTTACTGCCCCCATTATGGAGTGGGGCTATGTCTGTTGATTTTAGTAACTGTGGGACTACCCCCATGTCCATGCTCCCTCTCCATAGGATGCAGTTCTTGATGAACACGGAGTTCCATAAGTGCACGAGCATGTCATTTATCGCCTGTTCGAAGTCATTTGGCATCAGGATAACATCAGATAGACTTGTGTTTACCAAATTCTGTGGCTCTCTCATAAAAAATTCATTTTGATCTTCGACTCTGTCTGGTTAGTGGCTTGCTAAAAACTGAGTCATATCGGGACTTGAGTGTCTCACTCATTTCCTTGCTGTCATCTGTGTAGGACCCATCTTGTTTAAGTAGGGGCCCAATACTGGATGTTGTTCTCGACTTTGATTTGGCATAAGGAAAGAAATACTTTGGGTTTCTTTCGATTTTATTTATGGCTTTTAGTTCTTCCCCCGATTGCCGACTCCTATAAGATTCCTTTAGCTTAAGTTCGATGTTTGCTATTTCTCTGACCAATGTCTCCCTACCCATTTGAGATATATTGGCCTCTTTTAGCTGCTCTGTTATTCTTTTCCGTCGCCTGTAAAGGGAGCGCCTGTCGCTTTCTGTTTTACATCTACTCCTCCTTTTTCTTAAAGGAATAAGCCTTGAGCATACATCGAGTGCCACCGAGTTAATCTGTTCTAGGCATAAGTTGGGGTCTGTGTTGCTTAGTCTATTTTCCCAGCTTATATCGTTTAGGATTTGGTTTACTTGGTCCCACTTTTTCTTGTTATTGAAGTTGAATTTGGTGAAGGCTCCCTCGTGACTAATCTCATTTTGTTGGTCTGGGGCTCCACGCATACATGTCTAAACCTCGATTATGTTGTGATCTGAGTACTGTATATTGTTTTTGATATGGTGACATTTCATATCAGATCATCGTTGTTAGTGAAGATGAGGTCTAGTGTATTCTCCAGTCTAGTAGGCTCTATTATTTCTATAACTCTATTTGCTTACGTAACAAAACTCGCAAAAATATACCAAATGTGCGTTGTCTTGAGCGGGAAGTTTTTACTCTGGCTGCCAGATGGCAGCAACTGCTGGGCTGAACTTTCACCTCCTCAGGTTTAGCTCTGCCAAGGCAAGTTAGTTTTTAATATTTGATAGTTTGGTGCAAATGTGGTGTACTCGAGTTTTTGCCAGCCAGAAAGAAAGTGAAACTAACAAGTCTAGAACCTGAACTGCAAATAGCAGATTTGTAACCTATAGTCCAAAATGTGAAAAAATTAGTACATAGCATTTGCACCAAACTATTATGTATGAAAAATAACTTACCTTGTAAATCATTTTTTCATTCATTGATAACACCTTCATTTGCTCATAGTACCTGTGGACTTATTACCAGTACCTGGTGATCAGTGTTGCTCAAAGTTATCTTCCTTAATCAAATTAATGCAGTTTTTAATTAAGAAAAGCCTTCAGCCAAAGATTTACAACTTGCAGAACAGCATAAGAATATACACTGTACTAAGTTAAAATTTTAGCAAATAAATTTTATTTGGGTAAACAAAAAATACATTTCTAACAATTTTTAGTTATTTTTTAAATAGATATTAGTGTAAGCGATAGCAAGTTTAGTTTTTCTAAGTAACTGCAGACCCAAATGACATTATGGTATTCATTCATCCAAACTGGTGGGCGGATAACTGAGGGGTCATCACGCAAATCAGAAATTGGGCAGCTAGCTTCAATTCTTTTTTAACAGTGAATAATCAAGAGTCTGTTGTATATAAATTTTTAGAGGCTATTACACTGTGTATTAATTTGACCAAAATTTTGCTTTTATTGCTTAAATATTTTGGACTCTGGGACTGTACTAATAAAGAAATATTTAATTTATTGCAGTTTAGGAAACTGTTAGATAAATTTATGAATACCTGTATTAATTGTCTTTTTTTTTTTTTTATCTACGCAGGTTTTATGACATCAAATGAGAAGAAAATTTTTGATGCCCTTGATGAAAAAACTTCTCATCCCAAATACTGGATGCCACTTGTGTGGGCTGGTAGTATTGTTACCAGGGCTCGGAAAGAAGGCAGAATCAGGGATGATTTTGCTGTCAAAACAATTATAGATGAAATCAACAGATTCAGAGGACTGTGTGGAGGACTTCTTAGTTATGACTGGATAAGCATCCCATTGGTTTACACTCAGGTAGGTCATTTTATAGGTTGTAGATAGGGATAGTTATACGTATTAAAAGAAATTATAACTGATGTCAGGAAGGAAATACCAATTTCAGTGTTAAAGAAAACAAAAGAGCATGCACCTTTGAGCTTCCATCTCTAATAATAGTGTGTACAGTACTATCTCACTGCTCCTCAGCTTACGATGGGATTACATTTCCGATGAACCTATCGTAAGTTGAAAAATCACTAATTCGGAGCCTATAGGGTACTGGATTAGTGATTTTGCTGGATTACAGAGTGGTTAGGTTAGAATACACTCGTCTCAATGGCAATATTTACGCATCGGCAATTTCACCCACTTTACACCTTATTTTTTGGCCCATTCCATTGTTCCACTCTACCAAACTCATAGCTATTTTGCTAGTATTCCTTCTGTTCCATCAGTTGAGTACAAGAAACTGCCCATTTACCTATTTCAACTAGTACCCAATAAAGTGATCAGAAATCGGTAATTTGGACAATTTCACACAAATTTAAGAGATGCCAATTTCAAAATAGGGTCCAGAATAAGCAATGCAGACATTCCTGGCACTAAAATAACATTTTCTCTGTTCGTTAGTCATGTTTCCAGGCCCCTCTTATTACGCTTGCTTTCCATTTTGAATTTTTATTCACAAAAAAATAGAAGATTTACTGTTATATAGACTACTGCATTATTATAATAATCATATAAATAATGTCAACCCATTCATGACTGCGTATTAGACTGGCCAGTTGGACATGTATTGAATGGTGACATCATTTGTTTACTCTTGAACATTGGCAAAAATAGAACATTTTCGCTTCTTTGAGCTCAATTTTAAGGTACTTTCCATCGTGAAACCAATCAAAATATATCATCCTGTTATGTTGTTGTCCCTTATTACTTTGATAGTAAGGTTCTCACTAGAGGTCCTAGTGTGGGGCAGCTTTTTACTTAATGGCCTTATCTGTCTAGGGTAATACTTACATCATGATTGATCATCCTCAGTGTCTCTGATATCCTTTCACCAGCCCTCTTCATAGGTTATTTAAACTACTACTATGAAAATATTACTGTATTCTAAATAGATATGTACAGAATATACAATTACAGCACTCACATATTCAAAACATAAGTCTACACACTCCTTAGCTGCTCTCCCACATGGTGCATCTCGGCAATTTGCCCTTCTCTCTTCTTGACTAATCTCTGGGCTAACCAGTGTTTTGACACACTTTAGTCACCCTGGGTATGATGGCCACTACTTAAGTTATAAAACTCACCCCTGGGGCACACATAATGCCCAAAAAAATAGAAAAAAGGACCCAGAGGACCTACCAACTTGAAGTCAACAAAGAGAGAGAGTGAGAGGGAGAGGGAGAGGGAGGAGCCTAGCTAAGCTCCTCCCACACCCACCGAAAAACAAAAGACTGTTGACAAGCACAATTCTCTAGTTACCACAACTCTCCCACACCTTAATTTAATTCTACAAAAAGAAATACAACTTTATAAACTACTTATTTAAACTGTGTGTGTGTGTGTGTGTGTGTGTGTGTGTGTGTGTGTGTGTGTGTGTGTGTGTGTGTGTGTGTGTGTGTGTGTGTCTCTATAGTAAAACCTATTATATTGAGGAAAATAGGCTTGACCCAGCTGCCTCTCAGTCCCTAAGGGTGATCTTCCCTTAGGGTCATTTAAATGCTGTGTCCCCATCAATTCAATATAATTAGGTATCCCAGAGTAACTTACAGATTCATAAATACATGTTGGGCCCTATAGCCCCATAACACATCCATTCTTCCATTCTGTCATATCTTTCATTCTGTCATATGAGATCAAAAAAACGAGAATACAACCATAAAAACCATACAAGAATACACCGCAAATTCGCTGTTTTACACCAAAAACTCAGTCGCAGCTTTTTTCTCATTATGCACTGTGTGCTGCAGGATTTTTTTTTTATATAGTGCACACTTACCACACAGACCTATTCTCTCATATGTAGGCCCAAATTTACAGGTCATGGCTTATCTGAGTGAATTGAGCTCATGTCGACTGACAGTGGCTTCAAAGCCACCTTATCTTTTATGGACAATGTATGGTGTATGTGCTTTACACAAGAAGAATTTCTTTTATTCATTGGAACCATTGGATCAAGGATTTAATATAATATTTTAAAATACAGAATAGTGAGACTTACCGCTTGTCATCCATACTAGACATCGTGCCATGCAAGCTAGTACATGTATTGATATATTCCAACAATATCAATTGTCTGATTTATCATGCTCTCAAGCACCATTCAGGCACTTTGTTTTAAATTTTCAAGTTAAGTTATTCATCTTCTGGGTCCATATATAGAGCTGTCATACAGAATTTATTAGGCTGAAAAGTCTAATGTGTGTAAGTTTTGCTGTGACAAATCAATGTGCTGGGCAGGTTAAATAAAGTCACTCTGACTTTTTTGGGTTATCCTAGGTTCTTTACACATATGCTGCTATGTATGACAATCTATGTAACTGCATTTGTGTTAACCTGAATAAACATACTTACTAAACTTAATAGGTTGGTCAATATGGTCTGCTTGTCCACTCACCTAGTGAGCCTGGGTATCTGCTGACTTTAAAGAAAGTGGGATACAAGTACTTCCTTCATTTGATGCTGACTGAGTGATTTCTGAACCTTTGCAGAAAGGTTAAACTTGCATTAAATTCTATGCATTTCTCATTCTTCTTGTTTAATATGTTTTTTTAAGTTAATTTATAATCGACTGTACAGTGGTGCCTTACATATTGTCGGTAATTCTACCAACATATATACAGTGGTGCCTTTGTTAGACTGCATAATGCAGTCCATCAACCAGTTCAGCACAGAAGCAATGACCCATCCTAGAATTGAATATATGCAGACTGTATATAATTATCTGTAGACTCCTATCTAAGAGATGTTGGATCAGAGTAATTGAAGACAAAGGTCTTTTAATGATTTAATGGGAGTATGAACAAGGTAGCATTTATTTAAGATTAAGGGAAAATGGCTTGGGAGGTAAAAAGTTTACATTCAGAAGGATGGGTGGGGCTGTTGTGCGTCATATGGTCATGCACTTCTGAAAGGACTACTAGAGAAAGTGATGGCAAATGTGTTTCCTTCTTTGAGTCACTCTAATTTGGTGGCACACAACCCATTTTTAAATTATTTAAATCTTTCCAAGCCTCTTCCTGTATTCCTGTAATCTTAAAAAATTCCTAAGAGATTTGATCCTACCTTACTATTGTCGTTATTTCTTAATTGTTGTTCATTAACATATTTTCCAAGAATTTCCCAGCATATTTGCCTTAATTTAGCACCACACTTTAGCCCAGTTGTAAATTGCTGCTATAACTGATTACAATCTAATGTTTATCAACATCTTCAGTCTATACTTATTATATCATGTACACTCTTTTGCAGCTTCAGAAACCTAGGTGTCTACAAAGAGCAGAACCTACATTAGCATCATATATTTTCTTATTCTTTTAGCTGCTTAGATAACTTCTTGGTCCATGGGCTGAACAACAGAAGTGGTGTTAGGTGGTAGGTACATGCACCTAATCTAGCTATTGGCTAAGGTTAATGTAATTGGATGAGCAAGGACAGTGTCTGCCACACTTCTTGATATATTTTCTCAAAAAATTCTCAAGATAAATCAGTAAGAATACCCTCGCTAAATACCATACATTTCAGATAGTTTGTGAATTATAGATGTTGGTGGTAGATGATTTTGCAGCCTTGCCCACAGTAACACTTTTTATTGTATGGCTGCTGTCTGCACCAGTGCATACAAATGCTGAAATTTTTCCTAATTTACCTTATATCCGGGCACAGTCTTTCATGCTTACTAATTTGTCGCCCAGCATCAACAATATAACTCGCTCTCATTGCCATTATATATATTATTTATAATACTGTATATGTTCTTCAATGTACAGCACTGGCATTCTTATAACGTAGCCTTGAATGGCATAATGCTGGCTATGTCTGCACTTAAAGATTCGCTTACTATCTTATTTTTAATATTATTCGTACCTAGCTTCAAGTTTAGCAACCCAGCCATTACTCACTTCAAAAATCAGTTACCATAAACTGAAGACCAACTCATGGCTTGTAGCCTTCTGCTTGCTTGCTTCATTTGCCCATGTCACCAGCTCACAAAAGGGTAAACCACTTGTACACTGCATTATCCACATACTGCTTTGATATTTTGGTGGGTTCAGTGTCTTCCTAGTACAGTACTATGTATCTGCAACCCCTAACCCCAGTTTCACATTTTACAAAAAACAAAAAATGTTAAATATCAGCTTTCTCCCTCATTGCATCAGACACTACAACCAATTGTGTGTACTCTTGTGCAGGTCTCATCACACCATGCCCATACTAAAGTTTACATGATACTTTATTAAGCTTTCAGACTGACAAAACATTCCTCTTCCTCTTACCAACAACTCTTATTGATGCTTCTCCCAAACAAATTTTATAATCCAATTTAACATATATTTTAAAAAAGAGAAGAAGAAAAACTTTATAAAACTGGGTTGTTTAAATGTGCGTGGATGTAGTGCGGATGACAAGAAACAGATGATTGCTGATGTTATGAATGAAAAGAAGTTGGATGTCCTGGCTCTAAGCGAAACAAAGCTGAAGGGGGTAGGAGAGTTTCAGTGGGGGGAAATAAATGGGATTAAATCTGGAGTATCTGAGAGAGTTAGAGCAAAGGAAGGGGTAGCAGTAATGTTAAATGATCAGTTATGGAAGGAGAAAAGAGAATATGAATGTGTAAATTCGAGAATTATGTGGATTAAAGTAAAGGTTGGATGCGAGAAGTGGGTTATAATAAGCGTGTATGCACCTGGAGAAGAGAGGAATGCAGAGGAGAGAGAGAGATTTTGGGAGATGTTAAGTGAATGTATAGGAGCCTTTGAACCAAGTGAGAGAGTAATTGTGGTAGGGGACCTGAATGCTAAAGTAGGAGAAACTTTTAGAGAGGGTGTGGTAGGTAAGTTTGGGGTGCCAGGTGTAAATGATAATGGGAGCCCTTTGATTGAACTTTGTATAGAAAGGGGTTTAGTTATAGGTAATACATATTTTAAGAAAAAGAGGATAAATAAGTATACACGATATGATGTAGGGCGAAATGACAGTAGTTTGTTGGATTATGTATTGGTAGATAAAAGACTGTTGAGTAGACTTCAGGATGTACATGTTTATCGAGGGGCCACAGATATATCAGATCACTTTCTAGTTGTAGCTACACTGAGAGTAAAAGGTAGATGGATACAAGGAGAATAGAAGCATCAGGGAAGAGAGAGGTGAAGGTTTATAAACTAAAAGAGGAGGCAGTTAGGGTAAGATATAAACAGCTATTGGAGGATAGATGGGCTAATGAGAGCATAGGCAATGGGTCGAAGAGGAATGGGGTAGGTTTAAAAATGTAGTGTTAGAGTGTTCAGCAGAAGTTTGTGGTTACAGGAAAGTGGGTGCAGGAGGGAAGAGGAGCGATTGGTGGAATGATGATGTAAAGAGAGTAGTAAGGGAGAAAAAGTTAGCATATGAGAAGTTTTTACAAAGTAGAAGTGATGCAAGGAGGGAAGAGTATATGGAGAAAAAGAGAGAGGTTAAGAGAGTGGTGAAGCAATGTAAAAAGAGAGCAAATGAGAGAGTGGGTGAGCTGTTATCAACAAATTTTGTTGAAAATAAGAAAAAGTTTTGGAGTGAGATTAACAAGTTAAGGAAGCCTAGAGAACAAATGGATTTGTCAGTTAAAAATAGGAGAGGAGAGTTATTAAATGGAGAGTTAGAGGTATTTGGGAAGATGGAGGGAATATTTTGAGGAATTGTTAAATGTTGATGAAGATAGGGAAGCTGTGATTTCGTGTATAGGGCAAGGAGGAATAACATCTTGTAGGAGTGAGGAAGAGCCAGTTGTGAGTGTGGGGAAGTTTGTGAGGCAGTAGGTAAAATGAAAGGGGGTAAGGCAGCTGGGATTGATGGGATAAAGATAGAAATGTTAAAAGCAGGTGGGGATATAGTTTTGGAGTGGTTGGTGCAATTATTTAATAAATGTATGGAAGAGGGTAAGGTACCTAGGGATTGGCAGAGAGCATGCATAGTTCCTTTGTAAAAAAGGCAAAGGGGATAAAAGAGAGTGCAAAAATTATAGGGGGATAAGTCTGTTGAGTGTACCTGGTAAAGTGTATGGTAGAGTTATAATTGAAAGAATTAAGAGTAAGACGGAGAATAGGATAGCAGATGAACAAGGAGGCTTTAGGAAAGGTAGGGGGTGTGTGGACCAGGTGTTTACAGTGAAACATATAAGTGAACAGTATTTAGATAAGGCTAAAGAGGTCTTGTGGCATTTATGGATTTGGAAAAGGCGTATGACAGGGTGGATAGGGGGGCAATGTGGCAGATGTTGCAAGTGTATGGTGTAGGAGGTAGGTTACTGAAAGCAGTGAAGAGTTTTTTACGAGGATAGTGAGGCTCAAGTTAGAGTATGTAGAAAAGAGGGAAATTTTTTCCCAGTAAAAGTAGGCCTTAGACAAGGATGTGTGATGTCACCGTGGTTGTTTAATATAATTTATAGATGGGGTTGTAAGAGAAGTAAATGCGAGGGTCTTGCAAGAGGCGTGGAGTTAAAAGATAAAGAATCACACACGGGTGGGAGTTGTCACAGCTGCTCTTTGCTGATGACACTGTGCTCTTGGGAGATTCTGAAGAGAAGCTGCAGAGATTGGTGGATGAATTTGGTAGGTGTGCAAAAGAAGAAAATTAAAGGTGAATACAGGAAAGAGTAAGGTTATGAGGATAACAAAAAGATTAGGTGATGAAAGATTGAATATCAGATTGGAGGGAGAGAGTATGGAGGAGGTGAACGTATTCAGATATTTGGGAGTGGACGTGTCAGCGGATGGGTCTATGAAAGATGAGGTGAATCATAGAATTGATGAGGGAAAAAGAGTGAGTGTGCACTTAGGAGTCTGTGGAGACAGAGAACTTTGTCCTTGGAGGCAAAGAGGGGAATGTATGAGAGTATAGTTTTACCAACGCTCTTATATGGGTGTGAAGCATGGGTGATGAATGATGCAGCGAGGAGAAGGCTGGAGGCAGTGGAGATGTCATGTCTGAGGGCAATGTGTGGTGTGAATATAATGCAGAGAATTCGTAGTTTGGAAGTTAGGAGGAGGTGCGGATTACCAAAACTGTTGTCCAGAGGGCTGAGGAAGGGTTGTTGAGGTGGTTCGGACATGTAGAGAGAATGGAGCGAAACAGAATAACTTCAAGAGTGTATCAGTCTGTAGTGGAAGGAAGGCGGGGTAGGGGTCGGCCTAGGAAGGGTTGGAGGGAGGGGGTAAAGGAGGTTTATGTGTGCGAGGGCTTGGACTTCCAGCAGGCATGCGTGAGCGTGTTTGATAGGAGTGAATGGAGACAAATGGTTTTTAATACTTGACGTGCTGTTGGAGTGTGAGCAAAGTAACATTTATGAAGGGATTCAGGGAAACCGGCAGGCCGGACTTGAGTCCTGGAGATGGGAAGTACAGTGCCTGCACTCTGAAGGAGGGGTGTTAATGTTGCAGTTTAAAAACTGTAGTGTAAAGCACCCTTCTGGCAAGACAGTGATGGAGTGAATGATGGTGAAAGTTTTTCTTTTTCGGGCCACCCTGCCTTGGTGGGAATCGGCCAGTGTGATAATAAAAAAAAAAAAAAAAATTAAAAATTATTTTGCATAATTCCTTGACTAATTAAAATGGTAGATAGTAACTATCCAGGAAGGTACTATGCTTGCTAAATGAGTGTGAAATGAAAGCCTGTTAAACTATTTTGCACTCTGGTAGGATGGTTGATCTTTTCTGTATCATGAGCACATTAGATGGCAGGTAAATATTACAAACTTTTAAATTTGGTATCCACACACACCTTTTATTCTTCAATGTGCTCCTATAATATTTCCTTTCCAACCTAGAGGACTGGTCTGAAACCAGGCTGTGTTGGAGCTGAATGTGAGGGTCTGTTGTTCATAAGGCAAGAGTTAGCCTGAGGTGTACAGTGATCTAAATTTGTGTTTTCCTTAAGGCAAATATGTAATTAATTTGTAATAGTATACAGCCTCTCCTCACTTAGCTACATACTTGTTTACCAATGCCTCGGACTTACGACAGGCTCTCTGACCAGTATTTATACCTAAATAATGTATATTAGAGCTGATTTCTTTTGTTCTGTTCATTTCAGTATACAGTACACTACTGTATAAACATTGAAAAATATATCAAAAATGTTATAAATGGTGCAAAGGTGACATTAAAGCAATATCAAAGATGGATGACACAAACCCACTACCATTATAGTATGCTCCTCACTTAGCAACAAATTCGTTTAACGATGTGGTCTTAGGAATGGAACTCCATCGTTAAATGAGGAGAGACTGTATCATAAATATGTTACTAATTGAAACATAATTTGGCTTACTTTACTTGATAACAGAAATTTTGTATACAGGTAGGCTCTGCTTTACAGCACTTCACTTTACAGTGGTTTTCATTTATTCAAACTTCCTGCAATAAATATATTCACCATTCACTATTAGCTAAGGATGAAAATATTTTAAGGTAAGTAATGTGTGTACTGTATATGCATTTTTTAGTTATAGCTATATTGCTCACTTAATACGAAAAAAAGGCTATGATTCACTTTACAGTGATTTTTTGCTTTGCTGCAGCAGCAGCAGCAGCAGCAGCAGCATGGACCTATCCTGCTCTGTAAGCAGGGCCCTCCTGTATTAATTTTGTTTTATGTACAACTCATAATAACATCTACACCACAAATGTTTTGTCTGGAGATCAGTTCATAGACACTGAAGCGTTGATTTTATCAGAATTTTGGACAAAATTGGAGGCAAATGGTAATTTTCAGGGTATTGATAATAAAAATTCCAATTTTAAAGCTGGGTCTATTTAGGGAGGTTTCGCTGTACAGTACATTAGTGTATTATATTCAGTTTGCCTGAGGGTAAGATTTAATCATATCCCAAAGGAATATGTATTGGCTGTTATGGCGGAATTTAGCTTCGTCTGGCCGTGGTAATTGACTTTGTGTTTGATGGGGTTCAGCTACAGCTTTCAAGCCTGCTACTCGTCTAGCTTTGTTTGAGGGGGGTTAAACTCAATCTGCTCTTTAACATAATACTCATGATAAGGTTAACCTCCAGCTCTGTGGTCTCCTGGTCATTTAGTACACCTCAGTAACTTATTTCCACACCCTTACACTCACTCCCACACCCTTCAACTTACTCCCACATCTCTGCAACTCAATCACACATGCCTGCATCTCACTCCCACACTCATGCAATTCACTTCCACATTTCTACAATTTACTTGCAAACCCCTTAGACTCACAACAACAATACCTTTTCCCACACACCAAATGCACCCTGGAGGCCTTACTCATCTTTTCCCTTGAGTTTATTATTAGGTATTCCCAGTAGAGAAAGACAAGACTGGGTATCTCTTATAGGGAGATTTTTTTATATTGCATTGTTACTGGATATGTGTTTAACATGGTTCTTTGCATGCTATTAAATATAAAGTACTAGTAATTTTTATATAGCAATCCCTATTGAAAATTGGATACATCTAAGCTCTAAAGCGTAAGTACAAAAAAGAAATTTCACTAAATAATTAGGTACAGAGTAAAATTTATTTATCGATATAAAACCTCATAATGCAACAAGGGTACTAATTATGTACCATGGATTTTTACTGATTAAACATTTCAGTTTGTAAAATCACATCCTGTATCTTATTAATTGAATGAGATGGAAAAAAAATGTACAGTACTAATCCTTTTTAAGATCAATGATGAATCGCTATTATTTTCCCTGTAAACAGTGGTGACATGGCTGTGTACTCCATTTTTCCTGGCCACGCATCAGGTCCGTCAGTTTCTGGATCCAAAACAGAAGATTGATAAGCACCATATTGACTTCTATGTTCCAGTCTTCACATTATTACAGTTTTTCTTCTACATGGGTTGGCTGAAAGTTGCAGAGTCTTTGGTTAATCCCTTTGGAGAAGATGATGATGACTTCGAAGTCAATTGGCTTGGTGGACAGAAAATTTTTTGCATGGGTTAGTTTAATCAAAATTGTAGGTGATTGCTAACGCCCTCGCATCCGTACTTGCCAAATAACTAAATGTAACTTAACCTAAAGTCGGCTTTGGGACAAAGAATTTGAAAATTAATGTAAATGATTTGGAGAATGTTTTCTAACATAATCCAAATCATTTACATGAACACACATTCCTTAGGCTAATAACGTGAGATGCCTCGCAGACTTATATTCAGGGTTGAATTAAGGTCTTTGTAGGCAGTGGCACAGCCACAAGGGAGCCTAAAAAATCTACCTCCCCTGTGCAAATACTTTATTTTTTATTAATGGCTAATTTTCACTGTATTGTATTATACTGGCTGGTGACCAGTGGTGTAGCCAGGTTCTAAAGTTAGGGGGAGCAAGCACATAAAAAAAGCACCATGACACATACTGAATAATTTTAAATTCATTATGCATTTTTATATTTTTTTTAAAATCAAAACACAAGGAAGTATATAATTGTTATTTTGTATTTAAAATCAAAACACAAAAAGTTTTGCAGTAAGCTCATCAATCTCAAAACATAATAAAAATGTTTGTTATTTAATTACGGTGGAACCCTGGTTATCGGCCATAATCCGTTCCAGAAGGTTGGCCTAAATCCAAAAAGGCCAAAAACCAAAGTAATATTCCCCATAAGAGTTAATGTAAATCCAATTAATCCATTTCAGACACCCAAAAATATTAACGAAAAATACATTTTGTAAAGATTAACTATAGTTTTACGTACAGAAAACAATAAGATTTATTTTTTTTTTTTAACAATTCGGCCGTCTCCCACCGAGGCAGGGTGACCCAAAAAGAAAATCCCCAAAAAGAAAATACTGTCATCATCATTCAACACTTTCACCTCACTCACACATAATCACTGTTTTTGCAGAGGTGCTCAAAACACAACAGTTTAGAAGCATATATGTATAAAGATACACAACATATCCCTCCAAACTGCTAATATCCCGAACCCCTCCTTTAGAGTGCAGGCATTGTACTTCCCATTTCCAGGACTCAAGTCTGGCTATATAAAAATAACCAGTTTCCCTGAATCCCTTCACTAAATATTACCCTGCTCACATTCCAACAGATCATCAGGTCCCAAATACCATTCATCTCCATTCACTCCTATCGAACACGCTCATGCACGCCTGCTGGCAGTCCAAGCCCCTCGCCCACAAAACCTTCCTTACCCCTTCCTTCCAACCTTTTCGAAGACGACCCCTACCCCGCCTTCCTTCCCTACAGATTTAAATGCTCTCCATGTCATTCTACTTTGATCCATTCTCTCTAAATGACCAAACCACCTCAACCCCTCTTCAGCCCTCTGACTAATACTTTTATTAACTCCACACCTTCTCCTAATTTCCATACTCCGAGTTTTCTGCATAATATTTACACCACACATTGCCCTTAGACAGGACATCTCCACTGCCTCCAACTGCCTCCTTGCTGCTACATTCACAACCCAAGCTTCACACCCATATAAGAGTGTTGATACTACTATACTTTCATACATTCCCTTCTTTGCCTCCATAGATAACGTTTTTTGTCTCCACATATACCTCAATGCACCACTCGCCTTTTTTCCCTCATCAATTCTACGATTAACCTCGTTCTTCATAAATCCATCCGCCGACACGTCAACTCCAAAATATCTGAAAGCATTCACTTCTTCCATACTCCTCCTCCCCAATTTGATATCCAATTTTCCAAACTGTAAACAATCCAATCTCTCTCCTCCTCCTGTCTCCCATACACTAAGAAGAATCTCAAATTAAGGTAAGTGTTTTGCTGTTAATGTTTCATTCATCATTTCCCATTGTATTGTTTATGTACTACATCTATATTTCATGTAAAAATTTTTTTGTTTTAATACTTCTAGGAGTCAGGAACGGATTAATTGTATTTACATTATTTCTTATGGGGAAAATTGATTCGAAAATCGTAGATTTCGATAATAGTAGCATCTCCAGGAACGGATTAACTATGAAAAACGAGGGACCACTGTACTTGCAACATCTGCCACATTGCTCCCCTATCCACTCTCATCATATGCCTTTTCTAAATCCATAAATACAATAAAAACTTCCCTACCTTTATCTAAATACTGCTCACATATATGCTTCAATGTAAACACTTGATCTACACATCCCCTACCCACCCTAAAATCTCCTTGCTCATCCACAATCCTACATTCTGTCTTACCTCTAATTCCTTCAATAATAACCCTACCGTACACTTTTCCTGCTATACTCGGTAAACTTATTCCTTTATAATTTTTACACTCTCTTTTGTCTCCCTTCCCTTTATATAAAGGGACTATACATGCTCTCTGCCAATCCCTAGGTACCTTCCCCTCTTTCATACATTTATTAAACAAAAATACCAACCACTCCAACACTATATCCCCCTCTGCTTTTAACATTTCTGTCATGATCCCGTCAGTTCCAACTGCTTTACTCCCTTGCGTGAGGCATTACTACGTAATGCCTCACGCACCTCCCCCACACTCACATCATTATTACTTACTAAAATTTTATTAAACACCATATTTACTACCAGTCAATTTTACTTTTGTACATTAATCATTATTTTATACTTCCCATTACATTTTGTTGCCAAATTTCCAAGTTTGTATATTCAACTCCAACCTTTATATTATCCTTTGTACCTGTGTACCTGTCTACCATCTTACTATCATATTATAACCAAGACATTGCCATTGTTATTTTTTACTTATTATTCTTTTGGTACTCTAATTTGTGAATTTTATTTTGTCAATTTAAATCTATTATAACTCTTGATCTTGCCCACAACCTATACCAAACCCTAGTTGCAATTGCAAGTACCATTTCAATTTGTATTTTTATATTATAAGTTTATATTATAAGTCCTACTCTAAGATTGTTTTCATATCTTATGACTATATTGTGTGTGCAATTAGTGTTAATTTCAATTATATTATTGTTCAAGGCCCTTAACTATCTTTTGCTAACTAGTACCAACTACCTCATATATTTTTTTTTTCTACTTTTTTTTCTTATTTTTTTTGCTCCCTTTAACTTGTATATTTTATCTTGTCAGTTTAAATCTAGTTATACTCAAATTTCTTGTAAACAACTTATATAACACCTTATGCAATTTACAATTGAGAGTCTTGTGCCTTTTTTATATCATTAGATTAAACTTAGTTGTACTATAGCTCATTCTAGCTCAATACATAGTCAAATACCAAATTCATTATATTAGACCATAGTGTAATTACTAGTAAAGTCTGGTGCTTTTTTTTAAATTTTGTATTTTTATATTATTAGATTAACCAAGTTGTACTATAGCCTTTCCCTAGCTAAATGCATAGATTATACCAAAGTCATTACATTAGACCTTAGTGCAATTACAAGTGAAGTCTTTTGCTATTTTTAATTTGTTTTTTTATATTATTAGTTTATACCTAGTTGTACTTTAGCTCATTCCAGCACAACACATAGACAACACCAACTCCATTATGTGTATTAGTGACTAACTCTACATGACCAAAAATGCTATAGCTAAAATACTTTTCCAAACTTCCCACCACTACAGATATCAGTAAATAAAACTCAACACACAACTCAGGATATAAATTACCATAATTTAAGCCTAGAAGATGATTGATCATGTTGACCCTGATCTAAACCTCCATAATCACTGAAAAACAACCAAAACCTATTTGGGAAAATAAAATGCCTTTACTACACAGCATCACAAGCCAGCAAAATCCTAAACAATGCTAAAAGTCTATCAGTACTTAACCCACAACATCAGGTCCTTAAGCAAACACTATGAAAGACCTCCTGGCATTCCTTGAATCACTAAAGACACCCTTCTCCTGCATTATTTCTTACTGAGACCTGGCTTAAGCAGACACAATAGATATCTACCCTCTACCAGGATACACAGCAATCCACAACTGCAGACCATACCAAATTGGGGTGGTATTGCAATCTATTACTCTAAACCAATTATCTTTTATTAGCACCACTTGCTTTAAGTGATGAATATGGAGAATACATTTTTGCTAATTTTACTGTAAAAAACCTTAAGGGCGCCTATAACAATCGGTGCCATTTACCGGATACCCCACACAAACATCCCAAAATTTCAGTAGAAATTAAAGGAACTAATAACAAACAAACAAATAATAAGGGACCACCTTCTCTTAGCTGGAGACTTCAACATCAACCTTGGCCTACTAGATGATCAGCCTGTAACTGATTTCATCAACAATATGAACAACACACTTCTCATACCAACAATAACTAAACCAACCAGGCTCAAATGAAACAAGTGCAACCAAATAGACCACATATGGACCAATATACTAAACCCCCTTAAATCAGGGATAATCACAGATAAGCACTACAGACCACTACCCTACCTTCCTCTTGACAAACATTAGTAAACCACCACTTGAATACAACAAAGTTTCATTTAGACTCCATGATGAGGCCTCAAATAAGGAAGTTCACAGCTGACCTAGAGACTGTTGACTGGCCTACAGAATTTCTCCAAGGCCAATGGTATTGATGACTGGACAGACATTTTTCTTAACAAATTACTTAGACTATACAACAAACATTGTCCTATAAAAAACGAAACAGACACAAAAAACGGCTTGGTTGCCCATGGCTAACCAGCACCATTCTGAAAAACCATTGATAAAAACACCAAATGAAAAGCAATATAGACAGGGCCTATACACAAAGATATTCTTAAACACCAAATTTATTTAGTCCACCAAAGTAATAAAAAAAGCCCAAAAAACTATACTACTCCAGTAGATTCCCCTGACACAAGAGGAGATATAAAAAAGACCTGGAAAACACCCCTCTCAATTCTAGGGACCCACAAACTGAAAAAAACAAAATATTGTCCCAACTAAACCTAATGAAACACCACTACCATCCCCCCCTGACACAGCTAAAAGATAAACGAAATTCTTCT